CCTTCAGAAATTCAAGTTCAGCAAAAAAATATATTGTTTTGATAAATTTTAGCTGTAATTTAGATTAGTAGTATAGTAACTTCTGTCCGGCTCTTTTACTTTCTGTGCTTGTAATGAAATAATTTCAGGTGAGGAAGCTATTAGCCTTGAGGATCCTTGCTTTATATTGCTCACAGTACGGGTTTCGTACTCCCTCAGATAGCAATTCTAATGTTGCCCTCAGGTTGCGGGAAGAAATCCCTCCTCCTTTTTCCGGGCTTGGGACCGGCAACTGCAGTATCTAAACACTACAGCAGGCGGAGTTCATAGAGGAATCTCCCTACCAAGTATCCCATGCAAGATACACGCACGGATCCTAGGAAGAGGACAGAATAACAATTGACAGTATATAATAATGAGGAGCAGTATGGTTTCCGCAACCACCGAAGTACTTAAGATCTTACCTTTTTTATGAGCCTAATATCCGAAAAACTGATCGAAAAGAGGAAGACAGTAAGTTGTTCTTTTGTGGATTTGAAAAAAACCTTGGACTAAGCGAAAAAAGAAGATTTAACTAAGGCCTTGGAGAAGCTAAGAGTGGACATGGGACTAAGAATGGCTACAGAAAGCCTTTACAAAAAAAAAATAGGAATGTAATGAGAACGTCCCATTGCACCTCCGCAGAATTCGAAACTGTCAGTGGTATACGGCAGGACTGTTGTCTCTGTCCTCTTCTGTTTATTTTTCTCCTGAACTCAGCTCTGAAAAAAGCTAAACTTAAAATGAGAGGTTTTCACCTCTTTTGTGTGAATTTCATAAACAAACAATTTAAAAATTGTGGAGTTTAAATGCTCTTTTACCAACAGCTTCAATAGTCTGTAGCGAAAAGATATATATATATAAACCTGTTTAGAGATGCATCATTCCTGGTGGAATCGAACGAGAAATCGCAGAAGTTAGGAACGTTTAGGGACCATTCTAGTCTACACTCCAAGCCGGATTGCCTTCGAGTATTTTCATCTATTGTTGGCCCCATCTTAGCCCATATTCATCTTTTAGTTAATTATAAAATTCTTTCATAGTTTCAATTTACAATTTGTTATTATAATTTATAATTTAAAGTGGTTGATTATTTCAAATAAATCGTTGTATAAAGTGTGCAGAACTTAGAGGAGAATATATTAAAATAAAATACTTACGGCTGATGTAAGCATCATGAAGTTGTAAAATTTCTGTAAAACAGATAATAGCATTTCATAGTTCTTATTTGGCATGTGACTTCTAACATACTCTTCAAATAACTGCAAACAAATAAATATAAAATAATTAAAAAATACAAATTACGAATAATGCAATATTGAAATAAAATAGATGGTCGAAGATACCTGATTGTCCACAATAAGGTAACCTAACAAGAGTGCAATATAAGCTCCAATGAGGGTGTGTTCCATGTGGCGCCCTGCTTTCTGCAGCACTGAAACAACATCAATAATTAAAAAATCTGGTGCACGCAACACGCAACTTTCACTTATCTCTTTAATTTGAACAGAAATTATTTTTTGGCAATGTTGAGGATTATAAAATTTTTGAAGTGCACATTTAACAGAGCTACACTTTAAAGCTTACAGCTAACAAATCATTAAAACAACGAAAACCCTATTAATTATATCAACGGTAGACAATAAATACCTCGGTACTTCATCTGTTTATGTAAACAGATAACACACAACTCGTCTCTAAGCTACACATATATACCTAGAGATATTTGAAAGTACATCTCTAATATTCAACCTATAAATGATTATGGATTGTACACCTATTTGTTTTTAATATGTTACTTTCCATTGTAAAGTTTATTAAAATGAAATTACGAGATTTTTCATTGCCTGCCATAGATACTTCAGAAGTTTTTGCATTAATTTTAAGAGAAAAATGTTTGGATTTTACAAAGGGAAAATTATTCACTAATTTATTTTTCTAAAAGGTTACATGACGATTTTTCAGAATAAAGGAACATTGATACTTAATTATTTAAATATAATATCAGATCTAGAATTATTAAACTACAGTAAATTTAAGGTTTTAAACATCCATGAAATATTTTTATATTTCAGTTCTTCTTTTACATATTTTTTTTGTGGCATGAGTACACTGCGGCCATAAATTCTTTTACATAAGTACTATGAAATAGTTTTTTTAACTATGTCATTGCCTTGATTAGGTGAATTTTAAATAATTTTTCTAAACTGAAAAAAAGTTTCCATTTAGTTAGTTAATTTCCTTGAAATAATATGATTTCTGTTCAATAATATAAGTTTTGACAAATTATTATTTAAAATTGTTCGTCATCTACAACTTTATACATTAGATATTGTTTCTTCTACAATTCTCCGCTTTTCAACGATATATGTGTATACTTTCTGACTAGTATTTCTAGAAATTCATTTTTATCTAAATAAACATTTTCCTTTTTCTCTATTTTTTAATTATCAAATTCTTTCAAAAGTTATATTTAGCATTTTTTTATAACTCTTAATAAAGAGAGATAGTTCTCTTCTTCTTTTTCCTTGTGTGCCTTTCGGCGTGGAAGGGCCTCCAGCAACTTCAACCATACATCCTTCCTCCCGCCAATTCCTTCCTCCGACCTTGAGTTTTTCCTCTTTCATCGCCTAGTCACTTGATATGTTTTTCTATGCCTGCCTCATGGTCTCCTGCCAGTTGGCCTCGCTTCAATACATTTCCTTGGCACTCCCATCATGTGTCCCACCTTGACGACGATTTAAAGTGGCTCTTCACTTCTTCCTCCCGACAATATTTCTTTGGATCTTTCCCATTCCAAACGATTTTCCCTGACTTACCCGACAGCCTTCCTAAATCTGCAGTCTCCAACAGTTCAAACCCAAGGTCCACTTCCAGAAAACAAGATCCCGTGTTTCCGACCTTTATATTCCTTCCCATAGAACTAAGACATTTGAATATTCCTTCTGCCTTCTGCCCGTTGCCCGATCTACTGCCTTCTGGAATTCCTTGCCATATGATATCAGCCATGCTCTTTCTTGTCCTCATTCAAATATCATCTCTACCAATTCTTTCTCACATCCCAAAATGACGTACAATGAAATACATATTGTGAATAAAATTTTGACTGAGGTAAATGGTTGTTGAAATTGAGTTTTAATTTCAAGAATCAACCCATAGTGCTTATAACATTTTTTTTATATTTTACCTTTCTGTTTTTTATTTTAGATTTCTGTTTTTCTTTTCATTTAAATAAGTTTTTTTTTTTTTTCAAAATGGTGTTACTTTTTTATTTGTTTTTATATACTTTCACTGAAGATATTGCATATATTCTTTAATTTTGATTAATGTAATTTTTGGCCAGATGTGGTTTTCATTTTTGTTCATAATTGTTATTCTTAAGGGACCTCGTCCCAGAATAAAGTTTATTTTCTATTCTATATAAAACCTCAATTTTTGAGCAGGAGAATAGAATGTAAAATTTTGTTTATATCTTGGCTGATATAATAAAATAATAAATAAACAATAAAATAATAAACAAATAGTATAATGTATTCAATATGGAATAAAATCTTTCACACCACAAAAATAAAAAGTGAGCATGAATTGAATAATAAGGGACAAGAGATCATTAAATAAACACAATGAAAATCCTACAAAGTTTACACCTTCCAACAATTTTATTCTATTCTAGAATAAGTTAACTTACATAAGGCTACCGTCTCTTCTATAAACTCTTCAGACGATTTTGGAGCTTGATTTTCTGGTTTGCTTTCACCATCCAGAATGGCATCTGTCTTCCGCTCGACGGTCCGCGCTAGCTCTTCCTGTTCCAAGAATAGTTCTACTAGAGCACTTAGCGCACTTCCATTGTTAACTGCAACCAGCAAAATAAAAATGAAACAACTGAAGAAAAAAATAAGCAGGCAATTTCAATTATTTGACATCAGCTTTACCATCACAGATAGTAATAAGTAAAAATGCATCGACAAAGATATTATATTAATAATTTAGAATAAAAAAAAATATAATTACCTTCAAACATTGAATCAGCATTAGCAGGAGCCTTTGCTTCAATAAGGAGCTTCCTATTTGCCTCGCAATGTTCGACCAAATTAATTAACAAAATTAAGGTCTGTAATAAAAAGAGTAGGCTCAGTTATAATTCATAAATTAATTCCATTAAATAAACTAATACAGTTTATGGATAAGTTACAGAAACAACTCAGATGATAGATTTGTTTTTAAAACATTCAAAGTTTGATGTCAATCTGTTGATAAGTTAATTTTTTTATAACCTTATAAATTTTTTAACCACGTGACAGTCACAACATAGCTGGCAGGACATTGTATTTTCCGACAGGTATCTCTATTATTAAATTTTTTCCTCTTTATAGATTCCTTACCGAAGCCATGCATCATTTTATGCTGATTAATTAGCCATATGTTTAGCCAGTTGAGAATTTCTTTTAAACGATGATTCCTACAACCCTAGAGAAATAAGGGAATGTAAAGCCGAATGTTCTCAACCAGGGTGGCTACCAGACAGTTAAAGTAAAATTCTCTCATTTTTCCTTATAGTCTGTGGTACAGACCCTTTTTTTATCGAATTATTAACATCCACCTGAAACTTTGTAAATAGTTTCATCTCATCGTAACCTACAACTATTTTATTTACGAAATCTCTTGAAATTGGGGCATTTTCAATCTGGAGGGGGGCAAACTTTGTTTATTTAATTAGATAATAAAAACTAATAAATACATATTTGCTTTCTAATTGGATCGTAAGATAATGTGATCATAAAATAGATAAAAAAGGTGGCATACAAAAATATTGGGCTGTTTGTCCTATACAACCTCGTTATTTTGAATATTTGGGGTTGTAGGTCACGTCAAACGGCTCAATATTTTTGAAGGCAACCTTTTTTCTCGATTTTTTGATCAACTTATCTTACCATCCAAGTAGAAAGCAAATGTGTATTTACTAGTTTTTAGTACCTAATTAAATAGATAAAGTTTGCCATCCTCCAGATTGAAAACGCCCCAATTCCAAGAATTTTCGTAAATAAAACAGTTGTAGGTTAAGATGAGATGAAAAAAGGGGGGTCTGTACCACGGATTATTACTTAATGATACTTTTCCCTGACTAATATGTCTAGGATACAAACATTAAAAATGTATGATTTATAACTAACTACTATTCGATATATCTACGATAGTCAAATAACAAATCACTATTATAACTAATTTTATTTGTTATACATTTTAAACAATTTAAGGGGGAAAAAATTCAGTCTTCTTAATAACAAATATCATGTTTTAGAGGGAGTATTGTTTAAACTTGATTAGGATTTTATACTTCAGAAAACTAAACTTTTATTTATTAATTTTTATCGCCTTTATTTTATTTTCATAAACTAAGAGGAGGTAAAAGTTAATACTTTATGTAAAGAGGTCTGCTTTTCTCTATTATAAAATAAAGTGAGCTAAGGTGAACGATTCTTATTTAAATAGAACTTTTCATAAGTAATTTGGTTTCTTTATTACTAAAAACAGCATAATAATTATCCATACAACACCAATAGTGTCATTTCTGGTTAATAAATGCGGTTTTAAGGAGTGGCACTGGTCGGACAAACGAGTGCTTGTCAGTCAATGAATTTCACTGACAGTGGCCACATGAATTAACTAAAAATATAATGCAAAATAAAATTTAAATAATGTGTAGGTGTCTATCATTTGCCAATATTAACTGTTAAAAACGAGAAGGCAACTCAACCTTTCCTGAACTAACTGTCAAATCAAGTTTTTGAAACAATATTACTTATCGACTATTAGATATCTCTAAACTGAATTTCTAGTTAATACAGAGCTCAAAACTGAATAAAAAAAAAACACACTGTAAATGATGTGCGGTGGCAACACAGCCTGACTCGAACTTTGTCATTTACTTTCAGAGACGTTCGCTGTGTCCAACAAAATGTCATTATTTTTCAATGGTGATTTTTATTATTAATAAATGTGTGAAATAAAGGTAGTGGGCAACTAATTATTATTTGAAAATGTAACATCGTATTTCAGCCGTCAAACATAATATTTCTTAACAGAAAGCTTGAGAGTACCACTAAAAATTAAAATCATTTGAACCGATGACCAAAGAGAACTCTGTTTTTCTCTTTAATAGTATGGTCTCTTATCAAAGACGAGCATCTGTCATTTCCAGGAAGTGAACAAAATCTGAGTTTAATCATGAAACAAAATCAATAGAATTGGATAAAATTGATGCTAATTAAAAAAAAATTGGCTTTTCCTATAATTTTTAAAAATGACAGAAGTCAGTCATAATACATGCAGCTTGATAAAATTCAAAGTGAGATATGAAGATGGGCAGAAATATGAAGATATAACTACTTAGGAATATATAACTATTCAGTTTCAGAAAGTTATAACTACTTACGAGCACATTAATATCAAATTTCTGTTCTTCTGGTATGTATCGAGGAACCTGAAGGAGTATGTGAAGACTAGATTCGATAAGTCCCTCTCGCATTCCAGCCAAAGTAGAGCCAAATGCTGTCAAGGAAAAAGAAAGTAGTAAATTTAGTCAAGATATTATATTAATGAACTTTTATATAATTTAACTACAATAGGACCCTGTTTAACCAGCTCTCCGGGTTAATCATCAGTAAAAAGGAATCATGATCAATAAAATTGTTTCCAACATATCTACCGAGGTCGAATCAACACCATTCAGATAGTGTGGATCATAATAATTTCAAAGCGATCACCACTACGCACCTGCGGTATTGCCTATTACTTTATTAAGTGGATATTTCTATTAAGCAGATAATATTTTCATCCTTAATAGTGTCCGGTAATACGAAGTTTCACTGTATATGATGAAGATTAACATTTAAACTGCAATAAATGATATCATTCTGTTGGAATAATAAGCTATGTCATAGCCTAGCGGAAACAGAGCAGGGCTTAGTATCACCTTAAGAATAAAAATTTGGTGCGGTGTGCATATCAAACAATTTTCACTTACCATCCTTTTTTAGCAGAAATGGATACTTTCAGACAAAAAATACAAGTGCCATGAAATATCTTTAGTCTGACAAGAGTGCCACTGATTGAAGGTTACTATGTTTATATATATTTCATTGTACGTATTTTTATTTGTTTAAGCATTGGTATATATAACTTTTTATTTTTATATAGCTGTAATTGATACAATTAATTTCAACACAAGCATTTATGAAAACTGCACAACCATATGTATATAATATTATCGGAGCTCACATTATATTATACATGTGTTACGTATGTAAGCCTATTCTAATCATTCAATCAAGCTTGGCTCTGTACTGGGATTTCGTCGGTTCTCTATTAATATATTTAACCATTTTTTTTCTTATAAGATTACAATGTGAAATGATTAATTATTTCAAACCAAAATGTTATTTCAGATCTATTTGGCCCTTATTATTAGATAATTAGTTTTATACTTACACTTGTTATTGAAGTCATGCGTCAAGTTGATAAGAACCTTAAGGTTTGCAACTAGACATTCTCTAATGACGGCTCCTACTGATTCCTTATCAGCCAGTGTGGTCGTTGGATAGAATGGGATCTGCGAGTCACATATTCTCAGCATTCGGACCACTGTGTCTACAAGTATACCATCACCGTACGTCAAAAGATAATTATTGTTCTCTTCATTCTGAAGGGTAACCTAATAAAAAGAAAATTATTTTAACAACATTCTTTTAGCTAAAACATGAAAACATATTAATATTTAATCAATTCTATTGGAAGATACTACTAATTTTTAATTAATCAGTAAAAAGCAAATCCAAAAAAAAATATTTTTATTGTGTTTTAACTTTTTTTATTGTAATCACTTCGACGTTTCAGGGTGCTGCAACATCATTGGATTACACTGCAAGCTAATTTCATGTTATCATTAATAACTGTTTTGTGTGAAAAGCTGCCATGCCCGATTTTCGTGTAGCGGTCAATGGTGGGGCTGATCAGATAAGATCTAAAACATAAAATTTCATCCGCCACTTACAGCAGATTGGAGGGCCTTCTCAGTTAAGTAAGTTGTCTATGCCAGGATAAAAGGGTGAGTCAATTTATACAATTCATATAACCTACCACTTCATCAAAATACAGTCCGCTGCATAAATAAGTCGAATGTTGCCTATTTTGAACTCATTAAAGTTATTTGCCTTTATTAAATTAAAATTGGAAAGTTGCTTAAACAATAACAATTGTTAGACTATAATAGATACATTTTTATATAAATAATAAAAAAAAAAATAAGAATAAATAATCCTTCAAATGATGAATGACAATACATTTCCTTATTTTAGGCTAAACAGTTGTTTCAGTTCCTCACAAAACTTTTGATATTTGATATTTTCTCCAACAACTTTTAGAATATTTTCACCATTAGGAACTCCCATCTCAATTATTGGAGCCACATTTTCCTTTATAACAGAATATATGGTTTATTGTTTGGCATGGTATGGTCAGTAATTGTAGGTTGATCCCAATAGATGGTTGTTTCTTTATCAGAAAGGATATATTGCGGGGAGTAACGACAGTAAGGTTTTGATTCCTTAATAAATTTATAATATTTGACCCGACTTGGATGAATTGTTTTCATCGAGTTATTATGCCTTTAAAGATATGCTTTCCCTGATAATATTGTGCAGCCTGCTGTTATACACTGAATGAGCTCAAGTGCTCGTTTGCAAAGTCCACATTTATCATTAAATTCCTGATTCAATATGTACTTGTGGTAGAAGTCAGTTTCCACTACTTGGTCCTGTTAGCAAGTAGAAAACCCTCTGTTTACGGAAACAATTTTCCTTTTCTAAGCCATTCAACTGAGGCAGAATAATTAATGGCTGTTCAAGTGAGGGCATTCCAAAACCTAACACGTAGCTGTTTGCTGTTCCAATTCCTCATCAGTTCCTCACAGGTTACCGACTTTTTAGACTCCGCTGCAAGATTTAATGCAGTTAGGTTTCAGTCCATTGTCTTGATCGTAGGCATTAACTGCAATTCGCAATAAATAATATAATTCCTTAACTGCATCTCCTGTCTTTGACGGCTTTTGAAATGGCTATGAGTCCTCTGGCACCTTGTTTCCTTGGATGATTACATCCCCAGCCTAGAAACTGAAAATTTTGGATGTCTTTTTCTGGCTGCAATAATCATTTTAGTGTCGTAAGTTGATAAATAAAGAAACTATTGGTGTGGCATAGTTTTAACTGCAATACAATACATAGTACTTGATTTATTGTTATTTTAATGACAAGTAAATATGAAATTATATCAAATAAATAATATCATTTATATTATTAGTAATTTTTTTTCTATTTATATAACATATTTACAACTGTTGATACCACCCATATGGCGATGATGTCCAAATTTACCTTTCCTTCCATCCGGCTGATTCTACAGCAACAATCCCAAAACTTCAAGAAGATATAGACAGAATCTGTGCTTGGGTAAACCGTAATAGGTTCACCCTAAATGCTGAGAAGAAGAAAGCTATCCTCACTCATAAAATCCAATCCTGTACCTCCCAATCTTCTCCTAAACAACTCACCTATTTCGTTCCAAACTTTCATGTTATTTTTCATCAAACCCTCTTCTGGAAACTACACATCTGCTGAATCTCCTGTCGTACTATTTTTACCCTAAAACAGTTCAACCGTCAATGCTATCTCCTTCCATACAAAACTTGACAACTCCTGGTTTCCAAACTTGTACGGTGGACTCTCGGGAGAACTCGAAGCCAAACTTAAACGCCTAATGAATGGCTCGATACATTTTGTCTTCAGGATCTCAAGAGATATGCATATTACTGAGTATTACACTGAGTTGAAGTGGCTCAATCCATCCCTACCGCCGTCAATACTTCTTTGCTACCTTTCTATACCAGGCCATTAGAAGTCACCGACCATCATTATCTTGTAGGCAACCAGAAGGAATGCTATGCCTCTATAATTACAACACTCGTTTATATTGGTTATTAATGATAAAATAACAGATTGTAATATAATCCTGATAATGGAGCAGAACCCAGAAATGTTGAAGTGATTACCATATAAGGTTATAAGTAAAACATTTTAAACAGTCAAATTTTGGCTTCACTTTGTATTTCTTTATTTAAATTCAAAATAAAATAATGATAAATTTGAAGACAAGAAATCTTACATTTTCAAGAACTCTGAGGCACCTGTCTGCTTTCCTCAGCCTGTCGAGAAGAGACGGTGACCACATCGTTATCGTATGGTCGATGGGGCGACAGGTTTCAACAATAGTCTTGATTATATGTTCCAGGCCGCCAAGATCTCTCAGCTCTTCCTTGAACCATTCCCCTGCTCTTTTTGATGTCAGTGAGAGAAGGGTTTCCATTGCCAGCTGACCGACCTTAACATTATAATTTAACTTATCATTAAAAAAAATAAAAAAACTCTAGAATATTTTTTCAATACAATTTGTTAAAAAAATATTATTGAATGATTAACTCACTCAATGTTATTCAAATATGGTGTGCTGCGATATAGTATGTACAACTTCAAGCATAATTCAAGGATTTTAAGACAATAAACTGTCAAATTCTATGCAAAATTGTTTTGTGAATAAACCTCAAAATCGAGTATAGCAACCCAAAAAAGTAGAGTATAGCAAAATTTATGACAACAAAACTATTTCCTATTTTTTCTATATTGCTTAGACTAAAGATGGAAAAACTTTTTAAGATCTACTGTTTTCAAATGACCATGAGTTAAATATAGGTCTGGTTTCCCAGTGAAGACGAGCTTCTTCCTCCAGAAAGGCACCTGGAATTTCTGTCTAACATTGTAACCAGACCATTGTGGTATTTCCCCCTGTCAATCCATGATAGAGAATTCTTTTAACTACCCTCATGGCTGAATACCAAGCTGTCACACCATACTTCGTCATCTAGTCTCTCCCAAACTACTTCCTTTCTCTTTTCATAAGGTAACTTGGTGAACCCTTGTTCCTTACAGATCCCCTTTGCATGTTTGTGAGTGAACCCCACAAGTGTGAAGTCACTTGTATTAGAAAGATCTTTGGATGGTCTCCACAGCTTACTGAGCCTTGGATATTACAGAGATGGCCCCTCTATCATTCTTGACTGCCTTTTTCCATATACTTTATCTGTATGATTTCCTGAGTGTTCCCTTAGATCATGCATCTTCCCTTTGCATGTTTGTTGGGTGGTCCCCAAAGTGTTAAGTATCCATCCTACTTGAGTTCTAAATGTTGGAGATGGTACTCCTATAATTCTAGACTCATGCTATTTAAGCCCATCCATCCCATTCTTTTCTTAAAAAGGAGTTAATAGTTTATTAATGAGAAATATATATTTGAAAGACAGTGAAGAGAGATAAAGAGAGAGATTGATTGATTGATTTTTACAATTTTCATAACAATATACATTGTGCCTTTTTTATAATATATTATACAATGTAATTTTAATTTTAATAAATTAATGTTGTATAAATTTTAGTAGTATGTACACAATTAAGAAATGAACTAGGATAATAAGAAAGAAAGAGAAAAAAAAAGAGTGAAATTATAGGTGAGGCTGAAGAGTTAAGAACCGGTAAAATTAAAACGAAATGATATAAATGGATAAATAAAAGAGAAAGATAGAGAAATAGAGAGAGTGTGATTTTTTACCGTGGATAGGTGGAAATCTTCAAGACAGATAGAGATTACAAAATATACGTGTATGGTTATCATTAGAAAAATTCTAACCACACAGCCATATGTCCCCAAAATGTAGGCCAAATTTAAAATAAATCTAAAAGTTAGTAAGTACCCGAACCAACACCATATATAGCTACATAAATGTGCATATTAGCATTTTACACAAGTTACTTATTTACTTCAAAATTCTGACTTGTCACCTCCTTGCTCAAAGCTTTTCAATTTAATACTATTAATTTTCAAATTTTCATACTAAAGTAACTACATGATAATTAATTCTAGAGCTAGATTAATGAAGACCATGTAAAAATATATACAGAGGCCACAGACTACTCACCTGTGACACAGACTATAATATCCAAATTGATTTAGATTTATTGGCAAATTTTCTTTTGTTTTTATTAAAATACAGTTATTGATTATTTTAATAACAGATCAAAATCTATTCTAAACGTTCTCAGACGGTTGAGGATGAAATGGGCCCCATAATTAAGATTGTTCTTCCAACCTCCAGAAAAATGCTAATGATTTCGATTCTACATCCATTTAAATATTATTTTTAAAAAGACAGTTTGATTGATTTAAATATCGAAAGGATTTTAATACCGATGTGTTGGTAAAAAGACAGTTTGATTGATTTAAATATCGAAAGGATTTTAATACCGATGTGTTGGTAAAAAATTAATGAAGGTGCTGACTGCTAATTGACCAAACACTTATCGGGTCATTCTTCATAATGCCAAACAATAACAAAGCCAAAATTATTCATTTTATATTCTCTTTAATCAACTTATCAAATTAAAAATTTTCTTTCTAATGAGTGACAACACATCCATTTTATTTGTTTTAGTATTTATATGCTATTTCTCAAAGGTGCCTTTTTGCCAGTATGACGTATCATCATTAATACTTCATCAAATCCAATGATTCAGTAAAAAAAAAAAAAAACATATGGGTGATCCTCAGGACTGTCGTTTGGAAGTTGAGAAAAGAACTTATTAAAGTTTGGGTCGAAATATCAGCTAATAGAATTATCTTGACTGAAATTCTTGTCAAATCTTATTTCGTCCTTACCAAGTTATAGTTGTAGAGGAATATAACTTGCCTGTAAAATGAAAATCTCCTTCTCCCCCTCCCCCTTACATTTACCATAGATAGGATAGAAAATTTAATATTAGCAAATTAAGAAAATAAATAACTTACGGTGATGTTATCAAGATTCAGGTGCTTAGCATGACCTTGCTCTTGAATTTCTTGACAAAGGGATCGTACCCTATCCTTTGTCTTCTTCAGCTCGGCGGTGGAGAGACCACATCCCTCCAGTGCTGAGCTATGGGAGGCATCGCTCTCGAGCAGCGACAACATCAGTTCCAGGCTGTCTCTGTCAATATCCATGTTAAGCCTGTCTTGGCTCAAAACGAACATCACAGTTGCTGTGCACATTCCTAATCTCTTTAAAAACAAACAATACAAAAATCAAAAACTAATTCATGATCAAATAATGTCTTAAAAATCTGAGTCAAATGTGGCAAACAAACACTCAGTATCTGATTAATAATCAGATGAATCAAGAGATAAACAAATTGAAGATATTATTAATAAACCAGTTGGTATGCCGAGTTGAAGTGGCTCTATCTAGTCTTAAAAACATTACATTCTCGATTTGTTTATTCCTTGTTCCTCAGTCCATTCGTCCCCGGCTCTCAAGCCTGTTTATTCCTTCCCATAGAACTGTTTCTTTTAAAAAATCCTTTGTCATGCGTGCTACCTTGTTTTGGAATTCCCTACCAACCTCCATACGCAAATCATCATCCTTGACCTTATATAAACATAATATATTGTAACGTTCCTCTTTCCCTCCAAAATCAAACAACGAGTTTCTTTTTCAATATACCATTTATTTTAACATATAACATAAATTATCAGGTTGGGTTCTGACAACTGAACACTCATTCAACATTAAATAACTATAATTTACTAATTACTAAATACACTAATTATACATATAAAATTTATAATTGTTTTCAAAAACCTTGATTGTCCCAGTCTAAACTTTGTGGCTCTATCCCTTTACGAATGTTCCGTTTTCGGTACCATTTAATTAATTTCTGCTATGTTCTTTCTTCCAACACAAAATAATCTCCACTAGTGGCCTCTATCAACACTCGAACCGGCTAGTACTCCTTTTTCACCTTCTCGACTTGCTGGCTGGTCACGTTCTCCACTTGGTGGCTCGTCACATTCTGTCCTTCCATGAGGCTTGCTTCCCCCACCATCCGCACGCACTTCCTCCCCGTAGTTCGTGCTGTTACCATTTTCGCGCCACTATTACAATGCCATGTAACGTTGACATTACAATATCTATCCATCTCCTCAGTAATCAATCTTCCGAATATGTGTAAAATAATGTTATCTGACAGATAATTATATATCACCCACATTGTTTATGTGTACAAATATGTGAACTCGGATATCTGAATTTATCTATGATTTCATATATCTAACAGTGCCTTTAGTTTATTGTAATCTTAGATCTAGACTATCATGTAATTTAATTTATTCCTAATGCCAGATATTGTTATTAAATGGTACGTAAATTGTAGTTATTCTAAGGGGACTTAGTCCCAGAATAAAATTTATTTTTCTTCTTCTTCTTCAATAAATAGTGCTGATTCAATTATTCGATGATTGACTGTAGTATAATTTTGAGTAAAGAGTTGGTCCGGATTGGTGGTCATAAAAAAAAACTGAAAATAGTAAAAACTACTTTATTTATCTCGTTGATGACTCTGAGCCTTCCGACAAGGATGAGATAGAGGAAGCCATCAGGAAGCTAAGGAACAACAAAGCACCTGGGATTTATGGGATCTAGCCAGGACTCTTCAAATATAGCAGAGATGAGCTAAGGAAGGAACTCGACTTTTATATAATGGCCAGATCCAAACGAGCCCTTAAGGAATCATTTCTCGCCCTCGGAGAAGCTGCAAAAAAGGCTAGATTAAGAGTAAATCAGCGGAAAAAAAAGTATATGCAGGTTGGAGGGCTAGGAAACCACGAGGAGTGCTTTGAGGTATGATAGTACAGATTCCAGGTGGTCAATAATTTTCATCTACTTGGGAAGCGAGATAAACTGAAAAAACGATATCTCCCAAGAAATTAAGCATAGAATAATAACCGCTAATAGGTGCTACTTACAGCTTATTAAAAAACTTCAGGAGGCGAGATATCTTTCAAGGAAGACAAAAATCAGCCTGTACAAAACTATAGTTTTTTCAGTACTAATTTATGGATCGCAGGTATGGGCCATTAAGAAGGTGGATGAAAAACGGCTCTTGGTGTTCGAAACAGGACTATTGAGTAGGATATATGGACCAATTAAAGTAGCCGAGACATGGAAAAAACGAAAGAACCAAGAATTGTACGGGCTCTTTGAAGATAGCGAGATCTCTAAAGTCATAAAACTGGGAAGACTTCAATGGGCTGGCCATCCAGCCAGAATAGACAAAGGCGAGTGGAGTGGGACGACCGAACGTAAGGTGGATGGATGGTAGGGACTCTTCTAGGCGTGAGTGTGTATGCTCTACCTTAACTTTTTGTGCATAACTCAACAAACATCAGTAAGGCGAGATTAATAATATGAATTATAAATCATAGCTCATTACAAAGAAGATGGATTGCTGAAAATTTCCCTCACTTACAGTATACAGATCCTATATTGAGTATCTGAAATATTTTAATCCATATGTCCAACTACCCTTATCATTTGGTTTTCAACACTATTTTTTTTTCCTTTTTGCCTCCCTAACATGGAATCGTATTAAGATACAATTTTGAATTATAGCCTATTACAGAGAGGATGAAATACTGAACAATTTCAGTATGCAGGCCTGATTTATAGTTTCTGATACATTTTATCACACTAGATATGAGATATATGAATCACACTAGGCATAATTTATAAAATAAATAAAAATATAGAAACAACACACATATTAAAGCTAAATTATCAGAAACTTTTAATAATGCCTCATCACCATAATATTTCTGAATATTAGAAGTTATAATTAGTCTAAAAAAGATATTCTTGTTTATATCTAACCTTTTTCATGATAGAACTCTGAAAAGTGGAATTAACCATCTCATCACCGATTATATAGATTCTATATAATTATAGAGTGCGAAATTTTCAACAACTGAAACGATGAATATTTTAATATATATAATGTTCAAATCACAAAAAATCAACGAACTGTTAGTAATACTTTTAACTTGCCATATTTATATAATCTTATCATTCAAATAGTTTTTTTTTGTTTTGTCCTCCCCTTTCAGGCTATATGGGGTATTCCCGAGCCATGAACTTGTAACTATTTTTTTCAAATAAACTTATATCCGTGTTGCCAGACAACACGCGATTCTTTGCACATTGTAGTAGGTAGTCCCCTGTATTTACTCCTTTATGTGACATTGTGCAAGAGAATAAGAAGGAATATGAGGCTGCACTATGAATTGTACTCAATTGTGCAGTGGACAAATTATTCATTGAAAAGTCTCACATCGATAAACAATCGACAAAGTAAGAAGAATATTGGAAAAGGACCGCGCAGGTAGCAACAGCTGGAGGACGACGGACAGAAAAGAAAGCTTTCTAGGACGGGACAGGAAGAAAGAAGTTTGTCAGAAGAGATAGGCACTGCACTGAAGATTAAGGAGATCAAGCCTAAAGTTATAACACTTTGATATATTCACTTATTACAGTTGTAAAATAAATTGTTTTGTTAGACAGGAGTATTACCTTTTAATTAATTGTCCCATAGGACTCACAATTGAAGAATAACAAACCAGGTGAGTGAACAATTCATTTAAAGTGTATTTACTCAGTCCCACATTAAATATATATATATATACTTATTGTTTCTTGCCACTCAGTGTCACAAAAGTATACGGTTCCCGAATTCCCAACAACAGTTAAATACCCTCAAAAAGTCTATATCCAGTGGCGGGGTTTTGTTTTAATATTCACGAGTGTAAATAACCTAGTCCCCGACAAAACGGAAGGCTATTCGCAATTGCCCGTCAAAAAAGGTTATTTACAACTAACCTTTAACAGGTTATTTACAACATGCATTAGCCTGCTCGGCCACCCAGCCCCTGATCCAAATAGTTGTTTATATATAACTATTTTAAGTAAACTCATAAGCTTATCCGACAAATAATGATTTTAATTTACTACGACTAATTTATGCTCATGTCCCTTAGTTTGGAAAATTCCTTTACTTTGGGTGTTGTTCCACATAATTTCTTAAATTTAGATGTTTTTATATTATGTTAACATTTTTAAAATAGGAAAAAGGCTTTTTTTTTATCTCAGTATACATTATTTTAAGCTTATAATATAGTTAATTAAACAATCAAAAGCCAACAAAATTTTGGAAAGGCTAATTAAAAACTAACCTGATCTTTGGTCGCATCATGGAGTGCTCTGAAAAACTTCGTAACAGTCCCATGAGCCCTGACATGCATCCTAAAAGCCGGTACCATACACTTTGAAGCTAGAGTTATTGCTGAGAGGCACCTAAAGGTAATAAAGAAACATTTCTTAATATAACAACAGTAATCGTAGTTGAGCTAGCTAAGTATCGAAATCATTTTCATCTAAATGACATTTTAATAAAACAGCTCTTTCAAAAAATTAAATAATCAGGAAGCAGTCATTTTTGAGATTTTTTATTGTTGCCGACGTTTCAACCGAAACATGTGGGTCATCATCAGGGCATGTTTGTGTTAAAACGTCGGAAACAGTACAAAATCTAAAAAAATGACTGCTTTCTGATTATTTATCTCCTGTTATAAGTAGTACAGACGATTAACTTCCTTCAATAAAAAATTAAACTAGTCAATAGAATTAAATTGATAAAGAAGAAGTAAAAAATGTGTTTAAAAGAAAAAATAACTAACCGAGTGCTAATAGGATTATTATCTTGTAGGGCATCTAAAATATACTCTACGTCATCATTAAATTCTTGGAATTCACCTGATTCCTGAATTTGGTGGGCCTTCTTGACATTTCTTACAACTGTATAAAACTGAAAAAATAAAATTGATTAATAAATTGGAATAATTTCAACACTTACAGTATATTATGGCTTACCTCGAAAATACTTAAAAATAATCTTTTTCTTTTTACTTTCACTTACCTATATATATGAAATATATAATAAGCGAAAGTATTGTGATGATGGAAAATTTTCGAACCTTAGTTTTCAACATAAATACACGTTTTGAGGTTCCCTGAGCCCAAATAACCAAGTTGTACCAAATGATAAGTGTATGTGTATGTGGAAAGCATAGATCAGGAGTCTCCTAACTTTTTGGCCCACGGGCCACATTGAAACCTCCATCTAAGTCCTGTGGGCAACGGCTTGTGGTGAAAAAAAACCATGCAATAAATGAATCTCTATAAAATAAAATGATAAGGCTGATATATATTGGTCTTTGCAATTGCTAGCTGCTTATATGAGGGAAAGGGAAGGACCAAAATAATAAATAAATAAAATTTAAAGAATGTTAAAACTATATTAATCTTGACAGGCCGATATATGGTCTTTAGAATATCGGTATCTCCTCAAATCGGTGACGAGGAGAGAGAAAAAAAAATGAGGAAGGCTGATATATATCGGCTGATGCCGATAATCGGCTAAAAGGCCGATATTAATATCAGTGTCAGGCGATCCCTACTATAGACACACAAACTAATGGGGAAAAATGCAATTTTGGCCTCAAGGACTCTAAAATGTCAACAGCTGTTGAAAACCAGATAAATAAAATTTTACCAGCAGTAAGAAAAGCAATAAAACATACATAATAAATAATTATAAACAGTTGATATAAAAACCTCTTTTGCCTTTTTGCTGCAAGTCACACTGGTTATAGCTTCACACTCTTCTTCCAATGCAGTCTCTTCTTTTAAAGAATAATTGGTAACTCTAGTAAGTGTTTCTGCATCAAAGTCTGTGGCCAATGGGGTTTGGAGACCAGCTGGTCTTGCTTCAGGTTTAGAACCTAAAACCATAAAAAAATTGTCAAAAGTCAAAATTAAAACATAATTGAATATTAAATAAGGAAAGCCTGCCAAACTATAAATTAACTTAATAAATTTTAAAAATTACAGAATTAAATTAGTGATTATGTAATTTTTACTGAACTTAAATAATATTAACTATTTATATAATTCCATAAATTTAAAGTTATAAAATAGCAAAACTAATTTAAAAAATATGAATCGAACTGATCAAGATGAATGGAAAACATTTGAAGAAGCCCGGAGAAGATTGGGAAAGTGGGACTGACTATAGGAGCAATTTTCAGTTTAAGTTTTCAGGGCACGGCTCAACCTAGATCACTAAGATAAGAGTTAGTTCAGTCCTCGGTGACTATGGACAGTCAATCAGTGTGGACGTATAGGTGTGCGAGAGAACACAGACTGTTCAACAAGGAGCAGATTTAAAAGACATGATCAAGATATACTGCAAGTTTACAACAAGACAAAATATTAGTATCATAGCAGTTTATAAGGAAAATAAGGGTTGGAGGAAAGATATAACGAAGAGAGAAAGTTATTATAATAAATTGTCATTATAAGAGCTGGTCTTTCTAATATTATATGAGCGTTTGATGTTTCAGGGCTTTACATTCGCTTTTCAGGTTTAAAAAAAAAGTAATGATATTAATTTTTTGAAATGTTTCTGAGGAATGGAATGGTGACATTAAAATTAATTTACCTCAACCACAAGAAGACATATCTCAATGTGAAAGTGTTTTCATTCATTTTTTTTTTTTTTTTTTTGTCAACAAGTGAATCAATTAAAGCAGTTACATAATTTTTTAACTATTTGGAGATAAGCTAAAAGGAAAATGAGGTTGAATGATTTTCCTACTTTTCATTTCAGAATATTCGAGAAGATAGGAACAGAGGACGTAGAAAACTGTGTTGTGAACACAACAGGTCTGAACAAGAAGCCAAGGATAAAAAAGAATCTCAAATTATTTTCTTAGAAATATTTTTATATCTGCAAATGTTTCAAGGAAAACAGTTAAGTAAGTTTAAGCCGAAAAAAAGTGAGAAAGGAAATGATCAAATAGATAATTGGAATCAACAAGAAATCTGAAGTGAACACCAACCAAAACAAATAAACAGATTATAGTATGTGGTACAGACTCCTTTTTATTGAATTATTAACATCCGCCTGAAACTTCGTAAATAGTTTCATTCATTTCATCATAACATACAACTATTTATTTACGGAAACTCTTGGAATTGGGGTGTTTTCCGTAATAATAACCTCAGTGGAAAAAAACCATAAATTTATATTTTATAAGGTTGAAAAAATACTCACCCTCATCTTTGAGATCACACCATTTATGAATATAATGAGCATTCCTCTTTTCGCCAGAGGCCCCCCGTGATTTAAATATACTCCCTTTCTTAGGCCTACCGGGAGGCCTCCTTAATACTAACGGTTCGACCCTCTGTATGACCTCTTGAGGTGGCGGCGGTAACGTTTTTTCATCCCCACCACAACTCTCACTATCTGAGTTAAACTCTTCAGTTTTAGCTTCCGTTTTAGACCCCACTTCTTGATCTGCTTCACATACTGCTACTGGAGTTATTTCTGGTAGAGGCAGTGGTTCTTCAATATCCTCTGGCATCTTCTCCTGCTCAATTTCTTCTTTTATTTCCAACTGCTCCGGTGTAGGCGGATTTGGTTCCATTTCAGGTACAGTTGCCGATTCATCCATAGTAACATGGTGTATCCTAATTTTCAAAGGATCTTCTTCGACAACTTTTACACCTAGCAATCTTTCAGTAGTTGCCTCAAAGTCAACATTGGTTTCAGCTAGAAGGTTATTTCCTTCTTCTAAACAGCTTTCCATCTCTTCCTCTTTTGATATATCCTTTTCTTTTTCAGAATCTCTTCTTTCAGATTCCCTATACTTGCTCTTGTGCTTTTTCGGAGGAGTTGTAGACCCGTTAGAATCACTTCCATACGAACGTCTTCTACTGTCTCTTTTATGAGGTACATCATCTTCAGTTGGTGTAAGGAGCTGTGCAGTACCCTTAAATATACGAAGAACTATCGGAGGATGAGAAGAGGGAGGGCTTGAAGGAGCTGCCGTAGGAATGGGACTGGGTTGCTTCCTAGGAGGACTTGGTGGTGGAACAGCAGCTGGGGTGGAAGAGAGATTCATTGCCTCAGTCTGAAAGATATCGTCTTCATATTCTTCATTTTCCAAAGTATCCACCAACTTCTTTGCAGCCACAATTGAAGCCAATCTGCAACCAATTTGTTATATATTAGATAATACATAACTTACACTTAAATTATTATTTTAATAATCAATTATATTTATAATAATCAATAAGTCAAACATAAAAATATAACTTACTTTCATAATTATTATTTTAGAAACTGAATTATAAAATAATCTTAAAGACGCCATTATAACTAAATGAAAAATAAAAATTCTCATTCAAAGAACTGCTATAAATGCTATCCCATATGCTCCTAGTATGAGACATATTCGTCCGGTAATTTTATGCACCACCATTTACAAAATGCTCCATCTCTTTATCTCTGTTTGGTAAAAATCAGAATTTGATTTATTTAAAATTGAAATGATAAGAATCAATTATTTACAACCACATCTGCTGATTGTTAATAAATGTAATAAACAGGTACGGATTGAAATATAAAACTGAAAATAATATATATATATATATTTTTTTTTCTGTAATATACGATTTCGTTTACAAATACAAATTTTTATCATTTGCCTATTAGTGATAGTTTGCAAAATGATCAATTTTCTTCATTATGTGAACGAATATGTGTTAAAAAACTTTATACAAAATAAAAAGTGAAGGCGACTGAACATTTCATTTAAATAGAATCATATGTTATTAACAAGTAATTTTAATATTAAACTCAATTTAATCTATTTATTTTGATAAGTTATGCGAGGTATCTATCTACAAAAACCATTTCATGGAATGACCTGACTTTTCCAGATCACCAAAACAGTTTTAATAAGTCATTATATGTCAGAAATATGAATATTACAAGACACAAATAAAAAAATACTTAATATGCTACTTAATAATTTACTTTAAATGAATGAAATTTATTCATATTTATAAACTGATTATTAATAATGATTTTACATAGGGGACAATATTTAACAACCAAATACTTTCATCAAAATTACTCTAAGCCTTATAAGAAAATTAAAAAAGTTATGATATGTAAGTATTCAAGAGATCTAGCAAAAACTATCTTTTAACAAAAAGTTAAAAAAGGTTTTTCTTAAACTAGAAAATTTGTTTTCTGTTATAAGGTTATCATTGATATAAAATATGTTGCAATTATCAAGACTAATTATTTAAATATCAATCATAATTTTGTTAATAAAGATGAAATATCATGAAACATTTTAGAACAAAACTACTAACATATATATATTATTAAAAACACTAAAATTTAATTCGTAATAAAGAAAATTATATCATTTCAAATGATGATCATAACAAGTAAAATTTTCATTGCAATGATTAAATTAAATTAAATCAATTTATTGCAAAGCTGATTATAAAATATTTATCTAAAGACGTAATAAAGCCATATTCAATTTCATTCACTTGAAAGGAAAATAGAAATGGGACAATGAATAAAAATATTATTTCATAAACCAACAAACTAAATTATAATGTCCATCTAAATTTATATTATGCAAATCTTTTTGGAATATATTTATTGCAACTGCCTTACTTGATAACACAATATATTACTAATAGTATTGTCTTACTTACAATGAACAATAATTTTTTTTTTCAAGCAAATGTTGATTATTTTAAATGGTTCTCTTTAGCTGAACTGATTAGTGAGTAGACTATATCACAACAAATAATTATATAAACTAAGACTTAATAATGAGGCTGCCCGGGAATGAAATTCATACTTTAATAATGTAAGCTAAGGAAAGTGAATGAAGCTGTCTTTCCTGAGAGGTGAAAAGCACTGGCCCATAGAGGAAAAGTTGTGGTGGGGTGGGGGCAATGGTGGTGGGAGGGAGCCCACAGCTACCACAGCTAGTGTAAAACTGTGTAAAACATGAGTAGCAGTTACAATAGTTTCTGCTACTTTCAAAAAACAGATAAAA